GGGGTGGCGAATGTGGTTTCTGAGTCGTGTTGGCTTCGAAACCTTCTCTTAGAGTTGCATTGTCCGATTAAGACAGCTACTTTGGTGTATTGTGACAATGTCAGTGCTATTTATTTGTCGGGTAATCCAGTTCAACATCAACGTACAAAGCATATAGAATTGGATATCCATTTTGTCCGAGAGAAGGTTGCACGAGGACATGTCCGCGTTCTCCATGTCCCCTCCCGTTATCAAATAGCCGATATTTTCACTAAGGGTTTGCCACAGGTGTTATTTGAAGATTTTCGGGACAGTCTCAGCGTTCGTAAACCTCCCGTTTCAACTGCGGGGGAGTGTTAAATATAGTAAATATCTTGTAAAGGCAATGTATATTGTCAACCGTATAATTAGCCTCCTATTCTATAGCCTAAAATCATGTAAATCATTAGTTTCCTGATATGGAGCCTAAGACTATGCTACAATCTTGTGTATATATTCTGACGATTGATAATGAGAAAGGACACCAAGAAAACAATCAACAAATACTAATTTCCTACAAGTTACTTAGCTTTTGCGGCGTGCAACACATCGAACATCACCGTCAGTCAAATCACCACCGGGTTCATAATCCACGGCAAGCCAGTGTATTTGGTGACCGTGAGCAACGACTGCAGTTGCTCTCAATCATCGATCATGGTTTCATGCCAAGGATTTCAGTCTACTCTTGTGATTGATTCTCTGGTGTTCAGCCCTCAGGGTGATGGCTATTGTAGTGTCAACAGTGGTGAACCAATTTTCCAAGGACTTCCTCTACAGTTTATTATGCGTGGGACTTCATGTTCCATTTGGTGCCTACTACTTCTCTAATCAGTTGCTAGCTCTGGTGAGTTTTGATTTAGATCTGTGTTTGCGTGGAGAATAAAAGTTTGGATTGTTGTATTTGTTTTTATAATTTTATTTTATTTTATGTTGGTGTTAGTTTAGGGATTTCAGATGTTCTCTATCTAGTGGCAAGATTTGTATTCTTGTTGTCGTAATTGAAGGAAAATAAGTTCCAAACTGTATTTTGTTTGTTTACAAATGTTCTCTATCTAGTGGCAAGATTTTAACTTTTATTTAGGGGTCGCTTGTGTTTGCTGCAAAACTAAATCATAAGACCATTTGTTATAGGAAATCAATTTCAGCTTATATTTTTTTGGATGCCTAGAATTTTATTGTAAAACATAAATTTCCAATGGAAAGTCAGTGTCTTGTTGAAAATTTATTTGCGCAAAAATTGCACTTTATATAACAGATAACTATCTCCATATTGTTGAATTAGAAAAGTGTTTAAATGAGGTGACATTTACTTTTTTACTTTTCAATTTTCTGTTTGGGATAATTAATCCAAGTTATGTTCCCACCAAAATGTGAAGATGCGGAATTTAGAATCACCTATATTATCCAATTACAAAGTGAGCAGATTTAATTAGAAGTCTTCTTGTTGATCAACTTTATAACCTAAAAAGTTTAACATTGATTTTATCAGAAGAGCGAGATAACTCAAACTCTTCGTCAAAAATTAAATTAAATTCTATATGACATTTGTGTTTCGATCCCTACAGTAAAAATTACAAGAACCAAGTCGCCGCCACTTTTTCTTTGCTCACTGACTTTCCAAGCCAAGTCTACATTAGATAGAGAGATGGAAAGTAAGAAGTCTTGAAAACGAACCAATTCTAGAGAGATGGAAAGTAAGAAGTCTTGAAAAAGAACCAATTCTTTTTTTGTATTTTTTTGATTTTTTTGTATATATATATATATATATATATATAAATGCTAGGTGTATTGTGTGTATATATATATTTATGTGTATATATATATATATATATATATATATATATATATATATATATATATATATATATATATGATATATATATTATATATATATATTACACACACACACACATATATATATGTATATTACATATACACAACACACATATATGTATATATATATATATATTTATGTATATATATATATATATATATATATATATATATATATATATATATATATATATATATATATATATATATATATATGAGAAATATGGAGAAAACCTTGGCTACCAAGTTGCTTAAAGCAACTTGGTAGTGAATATATATTATATATATATGAGAAATATGGAAGAACCTTGTACCAAGTTGCTTAAAGCAACTTGGTTAGTGATGTGGCCTAATCTTGCCCCTACATCACACCTCGAAGATTAGAGCCTCAACACCCTTCACCAAACTCCAATATAGCATGTATGGACAAGATTAGGCCACATCACTACCAAGTTGTTTGGAAGCAACTTGGTACCAAGTTTCTCCATTTTTCTCTCTCTCTCTCTCTCTATATATATATATATATTATATTATATATATATATGAGGAAACGGGAGATGTGCTGCATCGTAGGAAATTTCCGACGCTGGCGCCATGTGTCAGTACCTTATTCCTTGGATATTCATTTATAGAAATAACAGATTTCCGAGTGGTTAAATTTATAAAAGTTAAAGGACCTAGACGTAAAAAACACAAATCACTCCTCATTAGTATCTTCCTTTCCTAATTATGCAACAAAACCTGCTGTCCTCCTTCCCCAAACGAATTCTCCCTCCTTCCCCAAGCGCCGGCGAAATCCCTCTGCCCTCCTTCCCCAAGCGTCGGCGGCCCTCCTTCACCTTCGTATCCCAAAAGCGTCGCTGATCTCCGCCAATCTCTTCGCCGTCCACGACCTCGACGCTGGCACCCTCAGGTACTTTCTTAATCTTTTAAAGGTGGTTTTCGTGAAAAACCCCTAAAATTGACATAGCAAGAACTGTTTGCATTCAGTATGATGTCTAGCATGATTCAACTTCACATAAGGTTGTCTGTACATCCTTGGTGATGGACTGATCCTTGACAATAGAGCTACTGCAACAAACAAATAACTCAGTCTAAACTTGTCTTTGTTTTCTGTTTGGGGACTCCTTGCAATTGATGAATAGACAGCATAACCCCTTCGATACTGCTTACCCTATGAAAACTAGCAAAGATGCTTTAGTCTCCATCATCAAATTAAAGAATTGGAGACATCACTACCACATAATTGATCTATTGCAGCGGTTAAGGCGCAACGGTTCTAACTGTTGCGTTAGATATCCAGCGGTTAAGGCGCAACGGTTCTAACTGTTGCGTTAGATATCTATCGTAACGGTTTACAGTAACTAATACAACATTTAATGAAAAAGGTTGCCATAGGCTAAATAATTGTTCATGGGCTTAATATTTGTTAGTTGGTTTAGGAGTTGAGTTTGTAAAGCCCGGTCTGACGTTAACCAAATATCTCTCTCTCTCTAATGAAATCCCTAAAATCCCTAAAATCCGACCGCCCCCGCACCTCCTCCCCCAAAAATTCCCTCCCCTCGAGATTCCTCTCCCGCCCGCTCGAAATTTTTCGCGCAGATCTCGACCCCGATCCATCGCCATGTCTCAGGTTCTACAAACTCCCCTCGATTTCTCAGTCTTGTTCTTAGAGATCTCACCGCCCTTGATCTATGGTTGATTTTCCTGTTGTTTTTACTAGAAACCCTAGCGTTGCTTGGCTTAGGGTTAGGGTTAGGGTTAGAGTGTGGATATAGATTCACTACCCTGATTCTTTTTTACGGTTAGGATCACGACTCGGGTTAGTTTTAACGACTGAAGTTTAAAGGGTACTTAAAATCGGTAATTTTAGAGCATATGGCCTTAATTTGATATGTTTTGGTGTTTTTTACGAGACCTAATTAGCCGCTAGTGTTTTACAATTATCTGGTCGTTTCCCGGAAAATGAATTTCTGCGGGTAACTTTTGTTTTGTGGGATTTTTCTTGTAGGTAAACAACCGCAATGCTTCCGCTGGAAAGCGAGCTCGAACTGATGGTAGGGCGTTGAATTTTGCTTGTTGGGACGTTGAGGCTTGTGATGAAGAATGTGTTTTGTTTTCTAGGCTTATTTTTGGAAAAGGAGAGGTATTTGTTCTTTTCCCCCTATTTTCTTTGTGTTCAATTGCGCATTGCCATCATTCAGTTTTAGAATAGGAAAATGTTATCTGGACTTCTAGGCTTAATGAAACCCTTGTCAATTGATGGCTAGTACTCTCCTATTTTTTTTACTGCATCTCATGGTTTTTTTAGTTCAATTGATGGCTAGTACTCTCCTATTTTTTTTACTGCATCTCATGGTTTTTTTAGTTAAAACTATAAAACTGTCTGTTATATCCTCCTCAGAATCCTAAAACAGCCATGGATGAATCATGTTGGGAAGTTAGTGGACGTTCTCGTTCCAAAGGCAAAAATATGCAATCAGGTTTTTGTTTCACTGGTATAGTATTGATTGATTGATTGATTAAGCTGAAGCGTGAAATTTTTATCTTTTTAAAAACATGACTCTCAATATTGATTCTTGAGAATGTTGCATAATTGACGAGGCAAGCATTTGCCATGATGTTCATGTACTAATAGAGCTGAACATTCATGATTCTGTAAGCTGTAAATTTAGCGACAAAAAGCCAATTTGGTTTTTTTTGGCCCCTCACACTAGTTCATGTTACTAGTTGAATAAAATTCTGGCATGCAAGATTATAAATCACATATTCATTCTTCCCCGAGTAACTCTCCAAGGCCTTGTCCGATTATTATTTTTAAATAACGAATTCAATATGCATTATCTCAAAATCTGAATCGAAGTGCAAAACTGAAAGGTGCTTGAGAGTGGGAGTATCTTGTGCTCTTTCAGTTGATCTCGTGACCAAAGAGAGAATCCTTATTATTTCATTTCGAAACAAATAGCCCATTTCATTTACTCAAGCTTTAGTCACGGTCAAGTCAGAATGATCGGGGCTCTTTAAGTACCCTCAAGCTAGTTCTCTGCTTATTGACTATCAACTGAATTATTAGCTCCTCCCTCAGCTGGTTAATTTCCTTCGCAGGAGGAACATGGAGGAAGACACTACAAGGAACTTGTGTCATACATTCAGTAACGCGAGCAAATTTCCAAACATTGATCACGATCCATTGTTCTAGGTCGATCCCTGAGGTAATATTGTTTGGGTTTTCTAAAAAAATGGATTTATTTGTTTTCTAAAAAAATTGGATTTATGTCAATTCAGTTATCTTTCGTGTTGTTTTGATTTACGATCCTAACATGAAACAATATACAAAGTTCTTACTGAATATGCTATTGTTTGGTTGTATGATTTTCCTGGGGAAATGTGGAAGGAAAAGAGGCAGCTGTGATGGTAGCGGTTGTTCTCTAGATGTGCAGAGTTGATTAGATAATCTAATAGATACTTCTGTTATCAGGAACTTTTTGGGCTATTGCATGGACTATACATTCTTAATTGGTTCCTGATTTAATAGTCTGGAGAAAATACATTGCAGTACTTTTTAATCTGCTAATATTATCCCACTCAGGAAAAATGGTGAAATCCATCTGCACAATAATAAATGTGCTTCTGAATATGAATTCATTTATAAAGTCGCTTCCAAACAAAATACCTAATTTGTAATAATGTTTTGTGATGCTGCTTTAAAGTAAACATTTTCCATTGCATTGAAAAGAAAGATGAGAAATGTCGTCGCATTACACATCTAGAATTGAAAAAAAAATAAGTGTCACTATGTTTTCTTTTAATGTTTCTATTATTCTATTCTGTTTTTCTAATACTGCAGACAGATTCTAAAATTTTTAAGGTTATAATTGTTTATCTTTCTCCAACATTTGTTTTTCTAATACTGCAGACAGATTCTAAAATTTTTAAGGTTATAATTGTTTATCTTTCTCCAACATTGGTGAATTTTATTATTGAGACATGCTTGGACATAACAATGGGATCATTTATGCAGGGAGAAATTCGTTGAACTTTGTGATAGTTTCCAGAATGATATTGGGAAAGGGAATAATGATGAGGTAACTATAATATTGTCAGAGAAAAAGGCACTTGAGTCTGAAAAGCATGATCTGAATATGAAAATCCATGCCCTACAATCTTCAACAAGAGAATTCCTTGAGGAGATTCTTGAAGAAATTCAAAATTGTAGGCAATAGATCATCACATGGACTCAATGTCAATAAAGCTTCTTGACATCAAGAATTGTAGCCTAATGAAAGTTCCTGATGTCAAGAAAGCTTGTCCTTTCCAACATTAGCTTGTGACTCAAAACGTTAATTCCTTTGGATTTTTCTTACCTGTTTCTTTGTTTGGGTTTTGATATGTTCCCATATTATTGTAGGTTTGTGTTTTAATGTTTCTGGTGATCCTTATTATTATATTTGAGAAGGATCTGCCGTAAAGTGATAATGATTCTCTCCTTTCTCGGTGAATGGCTCATAACCATACTTGATTGGGATTGAATCACATTATTGTATACGAGAGAATTTCCTGATATAGCGTGTGATACTCATTAACATCTTGATAAAATTAGTACTCATGGAAACTGTGTAATCCCAGCGTGCATTAGAGGTTATGAAGACATATGACCTGTTATTCAATCTGTCCATCTTCAGCTTTTCGAGCAGAATTTTGTGAAGACCATAGATAGCTAATCTTTAGATACGTGGTCAAAATTATGTGTGATTCAGTATTTAGGTTAGTAACTTATCCGAGATCCTGGGATGTGACACTGTATGAGATTGAGTTCAATTCCAGAAAATTTCCTATCTTACAATTTCCTTATTCAAGATCAAGAACTTAACCACTTGTCTAGAAAAAGTAACTCAGTTTGCAGAGTTCGTTCGAGTTGGAGTGCTATAATCATGTTTATGTTATTTCATTTCTAATGTTTATGTTATGTAATTATATTACTCTGATATAGTTTCTCTTGTTGCAATTTACTTAGAAAATAAAAGTTGACAATTTCCAAGTATGGAGGTTGGAGCTTCCTTGATTCTTTAGTGAACTGCAGTGAACTTCAAGCACTGAGTTTGGACTACAATGGTCCAAAGGGACTCGGAGGAGTTATGCCCAAATCTGTAGCTAATCTCTCTACAAATCTACAATGGTTGGCGTTGGGGGTAACACGATTTCTGGAAGAATACCTGAAGAAATTGGGAATCTTGCAAGCTTAACTATTTTTGGTATGGAAGAATTTTTTTTAAGAGGTACTATTCCTACAAGTATTGGCCAAATTCAGAGTCTACAAGAAGTGTATTTATCTGGAAACAAGTTGTCAGGTACTATTCCATCATCTCTTGGTAACTTGACTCAACTGAATAAACTTCTTATAGGAGAGAATGCCTTGGAAGGAAGTATTCCTCCCATACTTGGAAATTGTCAGGCTCTGCGACTGCTTAACCTTTCATACAATCGGATTACAGGTACCATTCCTAAAGAAATCATTAGCATTTCGTTGCTCACTGAATTTGTCGACTCGACTCACAATCAGATTACTGGATGTTAGGAAGGTTTGTGCTCTTCTGCGCCTGATGTGGTTTCATGCTCATCCTGCCACAGTAATAATATATCAGTGATTCCTGCATAATATACTGCAGCGCATAAATATATTGCAGTGTGCAGTGCATAATATATCAGTGCATAAACTTGTCGGATACCCCCTTGCGTAGATGCATACATTTATTTGGGCATGTATTTAATTATACAATACACTTCACATACAATGTACGTCTGAAGATCAAAGTTGGAATAAACAATGTACGTCTGAACCTCAGGACCATTCACATCAATGAGGCACTTCAGATGCAAATTGAAGTGCAAAGAAGGCTTCACGAACAGCTTGAGGTAAGCCATTGAAGTCACCTTTTCAGGTTAACAAAACGGGAGTAAAACAATTTCAAAAGAATTGGGACACCAGAATGCTTTCTTTTAGTCATGAACCAAAGCTATGTTTTCATGTTTGGCTGTTTCCATTAGAAACCCATATTGGATTTAGTGAGGAACTGAATAATCCCAATTCATCTGAATTGACATCTAAATACATATAGGAATATCCCATTTAGCTCTTCGGTTTAGATAGCCAAACTTTTGTTCGGTAGATTATTTGACAAGATTTTCAATAAATTTAATGTAATTATGTTTCCAGAGACTCACAATAAGTGTTGCAGAATTTCTAACATTTAGTTCGTTCAATTCTATGGACAAAAAAACTCACAGTTCCCTAACTGAAAAATAAAACATTTTTGATATTGACAGGTGCAAAGACACTTGCAGCTGAGAATAGAGGCACAGGGAAAATATTTACAATCAGTGCTGGAGAAAGCCCAAGAGACTTTGGGGAAGCAAAACTTGGGTTCTGCAGGACTCGAGGCTGCCAAAGTGCAACTGTCGGAACTCGTCTCCAAAGTTTCAAATGAATGTTTTAGCAGTGCGTTTCCTGGTGTGGAGGAAATTTCAAGTTTACACACGCTGCAACCACACCAAGCTCAACTTGCAGATTTATGTCAATTGTCTTCTTGCGGTTAGGGTAAAGTTTATTATCATCATTGCAAAAATTATGCTGATTCATGGAAATTTACACATGTACAGAAATGACGAAAACCAAGATTGAGATTGATACTGACAGGTTCCTAGTGAGTATTTGACATTGAGGCACAAGTTTTTGGAAACAAATAGAGAATATAAAGTCTTTGACCGAGAAGTTTCATGTTTTGTAATCAAATGTTGATGTACATTGTTTGAATGTTAGTTCGGTACGATATTTTTTGAGTTGAAATGTTGGTATTGTGGATTTAATACTTTGTAGTTTTTATACTATACTGATGTATGTTGTTACTTATCATTATGGTTGATTATGCTCAACATTTTCACTTTTATATTGTGCATTAAAATTTGACTTGGCCATGTTCTTAAAAAGATTGTCCAGGTAATTGAATACTATATGATTTTGACGTAGGGGACCAAGAACAACTCAATCGGAGCCGTTGCAATAGCTCAATCAAAAACGCTGCAATAGCTCGATCAAAACTGTTGCGATAGGTCAATCCAAACCGTTGCGTTAGGTCTTTTAAAACTATTGTAATAGCTAAGAAAACCGCTGCAGTAGCTTGAACACCGTCGCAATAGCTCAATCAAAACCGCTGCAATAGCTAAAAAACCGTCGCAATAGCTCAATCAAAACCGTTGCAATGGCTTTAAAATCGCTTGCCTTTTAAAACCGTTGCGTTAGATGCGGGGGCAACGGTTCAAAAAACCGTCGCAATAGAGTTCAAAACCGTTACGGTAGAGGTAGGGCAACGGCAGCATATGAGGCGGTTTGAGAACCGTCGCACTTGCTCAAGGGCGACGGTTCCATGGCTAGCGCAACGGTTTTGAACCGTTACGTTAGAGCAAATATGTGGTAGTGCATCTGGTTGCATATCCATTCAAGTTTAGCATCACGCCCTTTGTTTCTTATCAAGTTCCAATTTCTGGACCTTGTGTGGTCTTTGTTGTTCCCAGCTTGAACTTGAGCCACCTGAACCGATAGTTTTTGTCAAGTATTTTGATGTTCTCACTCAGTCACTTGTCAGAAATGGTGAACGAAACTTTCTCCTATCTTGACCAGTGCACTATATTTATTCTTGTTTCTTTCAGATATTCAGGAATCTCTAACTATTTTCAGCTTTCATTTGAATGCTACAAAGCTATGTTAAAATTTTTCATTTTGTTCAAGTTTTATCAATACAACTAAAAAGTTTAATTCGTGAGAGTCAATAGCTAAATTTAAAACATGAAACCTTGATCTAAAAGAAGTGTCGAGGATTCTCCATCTATATACTGGCAGTAAATCCTGAATGATGTCCAAATTTTTCTGCACACAGGGATTTCAAGGTTAACCACTGACGAAAAGTTTTTTTACACTACCAAAAAATGGGTCTATGGGGACGGTTTATAACCGTCCCATTAGACAACATAATCGTCCCCGTAGGCCTAAGGGAACGGTTACTCATCTGATACCTTTGCTCCGTGGTGCTTGGTCTAACGTGACAGTTCATGATTAAAGTAGCACGGTTCTTGAACTGTCCCTGTTTGTAACATTTGGGGACGGTTTATCTATGGGAACGGTTTCAAGCTTGATCTAAGAGGACGGTTATATTATCTACGGGAACAGTTTTTTTTGTTATCTATGGGGACGATTTTTATACCAAGGGAAACGGTTTCAAGCTTGACCTAAGAGGACGGTTATATTGTCTATGGGAATGGTTTTATTTTTTATCTATGGGGACGGTTTTTATACCAAGGGGGACGGTTTCGAACTTGACCTAAGAGGGCGGTTATATTATCTATGGGAACGGTTTTGTTTTTTATCTATGTGGATGGCTTTTATACCAAACGGGATGGTTTTCATTTTTTAATGATCAAAACAAATCACCCAGATATCACACATCAGTCCATCACATACAAAGAAACAATAGTCCAAGTTTTACACACAAACTAACCAAACTTTAGCCTTAATATAATGAACAATTCATTACAACGAAGAACAATATTACAACAATAGGATTGAGATAATTCTTCACAAGTTTTACACACAAACTAACCAAATTAAGCACATATCACAAATCCTCCAGGATTAAAACAAAGAGCTACTACTTAATCAAAAGGTCAAAATGTCTCTATTGAGACGATTAAGTTCTAAATCTTCACAACAAGTAAATCTCCCAAAGAGCGACAAGCATGGATCTTCAGATGTTTTCCTACATACATCAAGATAAAAAGATGAGTAAGCACAAGATAAGTAAGCACAAGTAGGATGCTAAGTAAAATGACATTAAAAACATGTAAAGCATGTGAAGACGAACAATGACTACTTAAAACACTAAGATCTCAACTATGTAAAACACATATATACGTCACCATTATCAAACCTAACATTTAGTTAATATTTATGATGTGTTCTAAATAAAAAAAAGGAATGAGTGGATATCTCTAGAGTAAGTCATAATCCTTAGGCTATTTACACAGCTCGACAGGCATCTTTTTTAACTCATTTACATTCACAAGTCTATACAAAACCAACAATAACTTACAGTGTCATCTTTTCCTTTGTTTTCTATTCCATGAACTTCCCCATCATGAGCACAACTTTGTGATTTAGCAATGTCCACATAACTGCCTCGGCTGATCCCTGATTGGAGAATGAACCGTTCAATCCAGCCACCCTCAGTGCCCAGAATAGCAAAATTACCACAAGCACTAATTGTGCAAGCCTGTCAGGAAAATAGAAGAATGCTTAAAATGACCCATAACTTCCATCGCAAACTAGAGAGAATTGATACTTACACTGATGTTTTTATATATGTCATATTATTGTGGTAATAAACAAGTAAAATTACCTACGGTGTATTAAACAAATTCGAAAAGAACATACCTTAACATGTGTTTGCTTGTCGGTGGAAGGTGTGGGAATATGTTCACCAAGGACAAAGTTCTGAAGACGCCACACGTAAGCTTGTGGAGTATCCATATGACAGGTCACAACGTTACCCCAATCATGCTCACGGATCTCGACTATAAAATTTTTTTTTTTGAAAAAGCAAGATCAGTAAACAAATGAACTATCAAGAAAAAGAATATATGTTAAAGAATAATGAAAATACGCATTATAAGCTTGGAGAGGACTTTGGCGAACGTAAGATGACATGCAATACTTATCACAGCACAGAAACAATGCTGCGATGTATATAAAATAGAACTCTTTCAAATATTATCGCCCAGTACAACTGTCGCCGCACCCGTGAAACATAGTTTATAATTTAGGTAACATGAAGAAGAATTACATAGTAAGGCAACAATCATGAGATCAGGAACATCTTTTTTTAAATCATAGAACCCAAGCAAGGCAGGCTGAAGAAACTACAGTTTACACTTCCAAAAACTTAAGGCCTACATAAGTCTGCTAGGCATTAGAAACAGGCCCGCTGTGCTCAAATATGGACATCAACAACTTTTTAACATAATTTCACACATTCTTCCCTCAGCCAGAAGAATGAAATGAGACCACGTGAAGGGAATGGTTTTACCAAACTATTTAATTCCACAAAACAAGGGCTGCAGTCAAGCATCGACCCTCCAAGACTACAACACGAACACCATCGCGTTATTGCAAATACAGGAACACACTCCTTAACATACACCATCTGAAGCTCAGGATGAAATGATAATTCGGTCAATATAATAATATGAGAACTTACCCAAAATATTTCCTATGACAATAAAAAAAAAGAATGTTAAAGGAGAGACTATTACCAACATCAAAGTTGAGAACAAGCTTTAACTTGATCTCTTCTTCCTGAGAAAGAATAATAGTGCTAAATTAGATGCCTCTTTATCCACCAACAAAAAAAGATAGTAAACAGGGCATGCGGAGCAAGTCAGTTTATCACCTTTTGTTCAAAAACAAAAAAAAAACAAAAACAAAATAAAGAAAATAAAGAAAATTAAGAAGAAAAAACATTCATAAAAACAGCCCATAAGATTTTAATAAACAACAAATTCATCATCTCTCTTTATACCTTCATCACGAGTTTCTTGGCTCTTTTCGTTATATGACACTGAGAAAGTTCTCTACTTTGCTGGTCCAGCCAAAATAGTGAATTTTAATTAATTTAAACAAGATATACAACACAAATTTGTTTAATGGGGTTTTCCAGCCAAAATAGTGAATTTTAATTAATTTAAACAAGATATACAACACAAATTTGTTTAATGGGGTTTTGCCAATAAAATGAATATTGTAAGCATCAATTAGAATTGACACAAAAGGTCTACCTCAATATATTTAAAGTGATATAGCTACAATCACCCATAGTCTCAAATATAAATTGCATATAAAATACTAGGCTCTTCAAATATTGCCATATCAGACTAGTTAAGTAGAAGACTAGTCAGATACATACATCTAAGTTTCACTAAAGTACACATAAAGCACTAACATATCTACGCATCAAATTACATAATAGTATAAATAACTATAGTACATTATACAACGAACTTTCTAGATTGACCTAATACTCTTCACATAAACATCTGCTTGAATCAAAATAAATCTTATGCACCACTGCATGCATGAATTAAATTTTTAACTTCATACTCACTGACACTGGTATATTTTCAGTTACATCTCAAATACATAATAAACTTTAGGATGTATTTAATAAATCTTAACATATCTGAGCATCCAGTAAGTATTAGATGTAGGCAAGTCCTCTATGAAGTACCTATGCAAGATAGGTAAAGCCAATAAAACAATAATGTTAACATTTTGTAAAATGATAGAATGACAAGCATATGTGTCTGACATGGGCATTTTTTAGTAAGAAACTAAAGATAGGTGTGAATTGTCCACTTAAAACTAAAATCAGCATATCTACATGGAAATTAAAATGTCACAAACCTGCACTATTGAGAAAAGCCGGAAAGCACGATCTTGAAGAGTCGAAAATCAAAATGTCACAAACCTACATCAATCAAATATTAACCCTCAATCCATCAACCAAGACGCCATTTTGGAAACACAGAACCAATATCCAAACCTAAAAATTCATCAAATACCAAAATTAAACAAAAAAAATTTAAAAAAATACCCCATTTTTAGCTTCAACAAGATGCTCCTCGTCAAGATGACAGCATAACCCAACAATATCAAAATCCTCAGCATAGAATGGGCACCCAAACTTCACGCAGAAATCGTCCTCCCCTCCTTCGACATCATCAAACCCTAGGTACAGATCTACCAACAAACCACAAAATCAGTCACACCAACGTATACAAAATTCACAAAAGGAGATCAACTTTGAGGAAATCAGCGCACCGAATCGAGATTGAAGAGTCAATTGATGGCGCCTCGATGCAGCGGAGAATCGGCTCCATGAATCGAACTCCATAGGGTTTGGATGCAGTCGAATCTGGGAAAGAATCCCTAGCAGAATAGAACCCTAGAGCACTGGATTTGGTAAAATTGGGGATATTTATTAATCTAGGGTTGAGAGAGAGAGAGAGAGAGAGAGGACGACGGAGAGGACGAGTAAAAGGTGAAATCTTCGAGCTTCGATCTGAAACGATAATGGAGAGTCGGGGGTTTTTCAGTATTTGATGGATCGGGGAAAGAGCGGTAGACAAAACAACTTAATATTCTTTTGTTAAAATTTTGGTGCGAAACAATAAAGCCTATAATAAAACCGTCTGCATTAGCTAAATTACTGTGGTTTTTTTGCAAGCCAGGCTTAGGAAACGTTTTTATTTTAAAGTTCGTTGTCTTGAGGACTCTCCTGTGAGCGCTGGAACCGTTTCACACCGTATCCCATTTGGAGGTCAAAGGGACGGTTTTAAACGCAGTCCCGAAATAAGACCGTCCCCATAATACCTATTTTGTGGTGTGTTAGTATTAAGGGAATAAACTTAATATCTAGAATTTACCTGCTGCTGCATTTTCTTTGTATAATGAAAATGCTTGCAACTATTGAATTGACATGAAAATGCTCTCAAAACCAAGTTGTGGTTAGAAATGATTTGATGTCGATAACCTTGAAAAGTTGTTGCTTTCAATCACTTTAATTTATTCTTGCAAGTATTTTTGTAGAATTTATACAGTTTCATGTTCATTTAAATTTTAGATTAATCGCATAAAGTGAGTTTAGAGTATATGCTTTAGGAACTTTGAAGAGGGTTAGAGTTCAAGTTAATAGGAAAATTCGGTTAAATTTCCAGGATCAAAACTTTGGTTTTGTATAACAATGTGACTGTGCATATATATATCAATGTGTGTGATATAATATATATATATATAAATATAATATATATATTATAATATATAATATATTATATATATATATATATATGAAAAAGTGAATCAAGAGACAACCCTATCCCCTCCCCACCTAAAACGCGGCCCAAAATCCATCAATTCCCAATATTTTTTTACGATCCGCTCCGTGAAACTTGATGCTACACGTTCCTAACTCAAACACCATGAATTGTTGGTGAACACCCGTCCGTGTTTTGACCATTTGTTGAAGGTCGTACAACAAAGCTTCTAAATCTCGAGCAGCAAACCGTTAATGCGGCGAGTCGGATGAAGGCGCTCAAAACACTACGGGTTCACCCAAAATTGGTGTTTTGTTTAAGAACCGTGTAGATCAACAGTTCACGAGCCAGAATCGTAAAAAAATGATTAGCGAATGATGTGATTTTAGCCGCGTCCGTTGAAGTGGGCAGTCTAGGGTGTCAGCTTAGATCGACTTTTCCATAATATATTATATAATATATACTATATATATATATATACTATATAAAATATAATATATAATTTCTGAATAATATGTGTCGTGGATAGTATATATACTATACACACAGAATATAGTGTGTATATATATATATACTAATCAATAGTATAATATATTACTATAATGATATATATACTGTGTGTTTGTGTGTGTGTGTGTGTGCTGTGTGTCGTGTGTATAATATATATATGTAATTAATCTATATAGTATAGTATAGTACATATACATCATTTAATATATATATAATATATAATATTATATATATATATATATAAATATATATATAATAATATATATTATATAATATAGGAAGAGGAGAGAGTAGAGAAAATGAGAAACTTGTAAACCTAAAGTGCTCCAAAGCAACTTGGTAGTAGTGACATAATTTTCCTACATCAATTGGAGTTGGTGAGGGTCGGTTTAGGCTAATCTTTGAGGTGTGATGTAGGGCAAAGATTATCGCCACATCACTACCCAAAGTTGCTTGGAGCAACTTGTACCGCGCAAGTTTCTCCATGTTTTTTCTCAAATATTATACTATGTGTGTGTGTGTGAAATATATATAATATCATATATTATATATATTATATCATTATATATATATAATAATATAATATATATATATATACTATATTACTATATATAATATACTAATATATAAATATAATAATATACATATTGTGGGTTGTGTGTGTGCTGAGCACACTCTTAGCAACTAATAATCGCGTAGAATCTGATGTGACGATGCATGTCGCAATATAATATATATATTATAATATATAATATATTATATATATATATATATATGAAAAAGTGAATCAAGAGACAACCCTATCCCCTCCCCACCTAAAACGCGGCCCAAAATCCATCAATTCCCAATATTTTTTTACGATCCGCTCCGTGAAACTTGATGCTACACGTTCCTAACTCAAACACCATGAATTGTTGGTGAACACCCGTCCGTGTTTTGACCATTTGTTGAAGGTCGTACAACAAAGCTTCTAAATCTCGAGCAGCAAACCGTTAATGCGGCGAGTCGGATGAAGGCGCTCAAAACACTACGGGTTCACCCAAAATTGGTGTTTTGTTTAAGAACCGTGTAGATCAACAGTTCACGAGCCAGAATCGTAAAAAAATGATTAGCGAATGATGTGATTTTAGCCGCGTCCGTTGAAGTGGGCAGTCTAGGGTGTCAGCTTAGATCGACTTTTCCATAATATATTATATAATATATACTATATATATATATATACTATATAAAATATAATATATAATTTCTGAATAATATGTGTCGTGGATAGTATATATACTATACACACAGAATATAGTGTGTATATATATATATACTAATCAATAGTATAATATATTACTATAATGATATATATACTGTGTGTTTGTGTGTGTGTGTGTGTGCTGTGTGTCGTGTGTATAATATATATATGTAATTAATCTATATAGTATAGTATAGTACATATACATCATTTAATATATATATAATATATAATATTATATATATATATATATAAATATATATATAATAATATATATTATATAATATAGGAAGAGGAGAGAGTAGAGAAAATGAGAAACTTGTAAACCTAAAGTGCTCCAAAGCAACTTGGTAGTAGTGACATAATTTTCCTACATCAATTGGAGTTGGTGAGGGTCGGTTTAGGCTAATCTTTGAGGTGTGATGTAGGGCAAAGATTATCGCCACATCACTACCCAAAGTTGCTTGGAGCAACTTGTACCGCGCAAGTTTCTCCATGTTTTTTCTCAAATATTATACTATGTGTGTGTGTGTGAAATATATATAATATCATATATTATATATATTATATCATTATATATATATAATAATATAATATATATATATATACTATATTACTATATATAATATACTAATATATAAATATAATAATATACATATTGTGGGTTGTGTGTGTGCTGAGCACACTCTTAGCAACTAATAATCGCGTAGAATCTGATGTGACGATGCATGTCGCTAAAAAATGTTGGGATCGGCCCGATTTCGTGGGAAGATGGTTAAGCTGCGGAGGAGGCGGTTCTCAAGGCAGCGGAGAATAGGGAACATGTAGATGCGTGATGAAGACGCGTGATGATCTTCTTGGTTGCTGGAGAATAAATAAATGAGATTTCCTCTTTTTTCTTTCCAATTTAGGGCATGTTTGTTTTACTAAAAAAAAAGGGAAATCAAAGAAATGGAAAACTATTAAAATGAAGAATTGGTTTGGGAGTGTTTGGTTGGCTAAAAAAAGAAGGAAATCAAAAAAAAAATATGTTAGTTGTCATATTATTATTGGATGATGTGAGTGATTTTTTAAGAAAACTAGTTTTGATGTTGTTTGGTTGGCGAAAAAAATAAGGAAATGAATTATAAGAAACCTATTTCCTGTAGTTTGTTGTTTTCTTTTGGTTTGGTTCATTCTTAAAAATAAGAAATGAAATGAGATGAGATGAGTTGTCATTGTATTATTGGGTGATGTGATCTAAGATTAAGAAAATTGTTTTCACAACTTTTTGGGATGAAAACAAAGAAATGAAATGTTAATGAGATAAGGTGAATTGTTATAATATTTTATTGGATGATGTGAGTGATTTGAAATGATGAAAAGTGATGAGTTGAGTGATGTTTGGATGAAAATAATATTTTATTAGATGTGATGGATGAGTTGTTAGATGAAAATAATATTTTATTAGATGTGATGGATGAGTGGTTAGATGAAAATAATTTTTTATTAGATGATGTGGATGAGTTGTTAGATGAAAATAATATTTTATTAGATGTTGTGGGTGAGTTTTAGGGATGGAAATGGAGGAAATAGTATTTTTTGAGATTTTCACCTTTTCCATTTCCATTTCTTGGTTTTTCTTGGTTTTAGGAAATAACCAAACAGACCCTTTCAGTAAAGCTAGCCAGATTCGTTCGAACAGTCAAATCCTAATCCAAATCCACGATTTATTCGGATGACGGAATGAGGAAGGGCTTTTCCTGTTTTCTGTGCACGTATGTCTCGAATTGCGTGGCTGCGGCAGTTGGGCCGGTGACGGCAACAATCAAAGGAGCCCATATTTTAAACGTAAAAATATTCATTATTGGGCCCCTGAGAAAAAATAACTGGATCCGGGCCCGAAGCCTATTTGGACAGTTCTAACCAATTCCAACATTGAGGTGTTCGTACTTGTCTTCAAAATTTTTGAATTCAAATATATCTATGGACTTCTTCAAATAAATTTGAATCTGAATATAAATACTTATTTTTTGAATATTCACAAATATTTAAATAATATTACAATGTGTGTATTTGATGGATGAAACATAGTATATGAAAATTAAACTATTTAATTTAAAGGATATTTTTATTTTGTTAAGGAAACTTGGTTTAAGTGCTAATAGAGAGCTTTTTAATTTCCACATATTTTGCCCCCCTTTCTCCTATTTAGCTACAATAAATTTTCCATTATCTATGTATTTCAAATGAATTGGAGATATGATTAACATCTCATGCATAAAACTACACCCACTACCCTTTCATCATCAGATTTGAATTTCAAAATTCAAAAATAGTTACTATTCTTCCTTGTGGATAACAATTGGCCTCCACTACCCATATGAAAGGAAAACAATTCTCTCTCCATTTTTCTCTTTTCTATGTCTTTTCAACTGGCCATCCCGAATCCTTTTCTGCTCTGTTCTCAATTGGCAAAATAAAGGCGAGATTTTTCCATTCTTCTTGCATATTCTTCTATATATATATACATTTTAAGAAAAGTTTCTCTTTTTAGGATTTTATATTTTCATCTCCCCA